CGGCTACCGTGAAGCCAATTTCTAACAAATGAAGCAGAGTGACTAATTAAATTATTTATAAGTTGCTTTACCTTTTAAGACGTTGGTTGTTATACAAATAAAATTCAAAACAACAATAGATAAGATACAAAGCCTTGTCAATAATATTACAGTTGCATTTTTGGTGTTAATAAAGAATTTCTGAGTACATGAAGATATTGAATGCATAGGCGAGTGGATGCACTCAAATAGCCTCATCCAACATCCGGCAGTGATATTCACTCTGTAGCTTCATCCAGCAGTGATATCCACTCTGTAACCTCATCCAGCATCCGGCAGTGATATTCACTCTGTAGCTTCATCCAGCAGTAATATCCACTCTGTAACCTCATTCAGCATCCGGCAGATATCCACACTGTAGCCTCATCCAGCATCCGGCAGTGATATTCACTCTGTAGCCTCATCCAGCATCCGGCAGTGATATACCCTCTGTAATCTCATCCAGCATCCGGCAGTGATATTCCCTCTGTAACCTCATCCAGCATCCGGCAGTGATATTCACTCTGTAGCTTCATCCAGCAGTGATATCCACTCTGTAACCTCATCCAGCATCCGGCAGATATCCACACTGTAGCCTCATCCAGCATCCGGCAGTGATATTCACTCTGTAGCCTCATCCAGCATCCGGCAGTGATATACCCTCTGTAATCTCATCCAGCATCCGGCAGTGATATTCCCTCTGTAATCTCATCCAGCATCCGGCAGTGATATTCACTCTGTAGCCTCATCCAGCAGTGATATTCCCTCTGTAATCTCATCCAGCATCCGGCAGTGATATTCGCTCTGTAGCCTCACCCATCATCCGGCTGTTAGCTGCACTCTATAGCATCATCCATCTCCCAAACACCGCCCTCAACGCCACCTCAGACCATCAATTAACACACCTTCTATGGAGTTAAGTGAGCGTGGCGCTGAGACGCCTAATTCTAGAGGGCAGTTGGATAATTAGAGTCCCGTCTCAAGTCTATAATGAAGTGATGAGCGGTCGACCAATCACCCGTGAACTTAACTCTCAAACCTGATTCTTGCTGTCGTAATCAGTTTTCCTTCTAATATTTTTTCCCTTTTCTGTTATTAAAGTTTCCTGTTATGCCTCCAATTTTTCGTGTATCGGAAACTCTATTGTTAGTAAATATAGGGAAAAATGTCGTACTGGAATATAAATCGTGGAGGTAAAAAGTATCGTACAGGCGAGTCCTGATCTTATCGCGCCCCTCAACCTTCTATTTTCTGTAAATGTAAACAAAATATTAACTCTACAGCTCATTTGCAATAGCTGGTGATGAAGGCTGAGTGTATACTGAGGGCCTAAAATGTAACATTAACCCTCAGCTGCGGGTGAGTAAGCGTTAGTTAGGTCTAGGAATACGACTGAGCGGGTGTTGGTATAGCCCCTTAAGGGTTATAGCTGGCTCAGGGCCGGTCAGTGTGTAATCTTGCCACCAAACTTGGCTCTTTCTACTCCAACATTTTCCCCACTTATAATAAATTTCTGGTGTGATAAAAGCCGTCTCACGATGAGAGGTCCACTTTAAAACACCGGCTCGCGATATAAATTATTTGTGGTGGGAGATTTAGTTAGAATTATGAGTGTTTTCAGTTATTTTTTTTTGAAGCCTATGTTTTCCCTGAAGATATTAGTATATTCTGTTATGAAACATACAGACAGACATTGGCATTATTGAGCTTACAGCTCCCATGGGGCGAGGAGGCAAAGCCCAGAGAATGAAAATGAATAATATTGGGTAAGGATATTGTATGATTACAATATTTTATCCTACACTCCAGCAGTCATCCACAGCATCAACCACCACACTCCACCAGTCATCCACACCACCACCACCACACTCCAGCAGTCATCATCCACACCACCACCACCACACTCAGCCATCATCCACACCACCACCACCACACTCAGCCATCATCCACACCACCACCACCACACTCAGCCATCATCCACACCACCACCACCACACTCAGCCATCATCCACACCACCACCACCACACTCAGCCATCATCCACACCACCACCACCACACTCAGCCATCATCCACACCACCACCACCACACTCAGCCAGTCATCCACACCACCACCACCACACTCAGCCATCATCCACACCACCACCACCACACTCAGCCATCATCCACACCACCACCACCACACACAGACAGTCATCCACACCACCACCACCACACTCAGCCATCATCCACACCACCACCACCACACTCAGCCAGTCATCCACACCACCACCACCACACTCAGCCACACCACCACCACACTCAGCCATCATCCACACCACCACCACCACACTCAGCCAGTCATCCACACCACCACCACCACACTCAGCCAGTCATCCACACCACCACCACCACACTCAGCCATCATCCACACCACCACCACCACACTCAGCCATCATCCACACCACCACCACCACACTCAGCCATCATCCACACCACCACCA